CATCAGAGAGAGTGCATCCCCGATCGTTCACTATGTCCGACAAAGGGGCTGATCCTGTCACTATGATCACCCACTCAAATGAATTCTCGGACTGTCCCAACATACCCAGGTTTTGACCCCCACTAAGGATCTCACTGATTGGCATATCAAAGATAGCCCAATCCGACACCTAGTGTAGTATCATAATCGAGTCTAGAGAGCGTGTAACATTCCAGTTTTGCCCATCTATCTCCAAGGTCCAGGGCAATACTGGAATTCTAGTCTGATTCAGAGTTTCAAGAAAACCCACACTGCATGTACCTCAGGTCTCACCCTGGCAGTTGAGACAAGCCACCCCAACCAACTTGGCGGCACATCAGTGTCGGCCTTGATAGGATAAATCTCCCCAAATCAATCCAACAGCTATGAAGATTCTAAACTAACACGAGTCTCATATGTGTCTAGTTTAAGAGCATTACACAGAGATAACATGAATCAAATATGTACTTTATTCATTTACTTTAAATGTCATAATGTACATCATTCTGATTGGAGCTAAGGGCATACACTGTCTAACATAAAGCTCGTCTTGTAGCGAAAGGGTACACTCAGAAAGGAGTCGATTATGAGGAAATCTTTTCGCCTGTGGCCATGCTTAAATCCATTAGGATTCTGTTAGTCATAGTAGTACACTACGATTATGAGATCTAGCATATGGATGTCAAAACCGCATTCCTAAATGGAAATCTTACAGAGGATATCTATATGCGGCAGCCGCAAGGCTTTATTGCATTTGGTCAGGAACACATGGTGTGCAAACTGAACAGATCCATCTATGGATTAAAGCAAACTTCTAGAAGTTGGAACATCCGATTTGACTCTATGGTCAAACCGTTTGACTTCGAGCAGAATCCGAATGAACCCTATGTTTACAGGAAATCAATGGAGACAATGTTACGTTTCTGATTTTGTATGTAGATGACATTCTGCTCATTGGGAATGAAGTAGGAATGTTGACTACGGTGAAGGTATGGCTTTTGCAGCAACTCTCCATGAAAGATCTTTGAGAAGCCTCCTACATCTTGGGACTTCGACTCTATAGAGATTGAACGAAGAGAATAATAGAATTATCCCAATCCACTTACATTGACAAGATTGTCAACAAACACAACATGGAGAACTCTAAGAAGGGATTTGTCCCTTCCAGACACGAAGTCACTCTCTCCATGGGTATATCTCCAAATACTCCTGAAGAGATTGAGGGCATGAAAGAAGTTCCCTATGCCTCAACCGTAGGGAGAATCATGTATGCCATGTGCACTCGGCCAGACATTGCTCAGGCAGTGAGTGTGGTAAGTTGATACCAGTCAAACCTAGGACATGAGCATTGGACTACCGTGAAAAACATACTCAAATACCTTAGAAGGACTAAAGAGTATTGTCTTGTCTTCACTACAGATGGTCGGGTATACTGATGCCACTTCCACTTATACCCAGATGATAAAAAGTCTACATCTAGCACATCTTTACGATGGGGTCTTGTGCAGTTAGCTGGAAAAGCAGCAAACAAGGGTCCACATCAGATTCCACGGCCGAGTCCGAACACATTGCCGCAAGTGAATATGCCAAGGAAGCAATGTGGATGAAAAAGTTCATTCACGAATTAGGAGTTGTTTCATCCAGTACATCACCCATTCCACTGTTGTGAGACAACACTGGAGCCATTGCTCAGGCTAAGAAGCCAAGATCCCACTCAAAGTCAAAGCACATCAAGAGGAAGTATCATGTACTAAGCCACTAACACAGAAAGTGTTTGAGAAACATGTGGACATTATGGCACTGAGTCTTGTACCAGATTGGACCTAAGTGCAAGTAGGAGTTGTTAGAAAGTGTATGCCCTTAGCTCCAATCAAATTGATGTATTGATACATTTATTGTAAATGAGTAAAAAGTACATAATTGTTTCATGTTATGATTGGAGTGTTTCTGTGTAATTACCCCTTAAATTGGATGCTTACGAGACTCGTGTTAATTTAGAATGTTCTCAGCCGTTGGATAGACTTGGGGAATTTATCTTGCCAAGGCTGACACTAATGTGCTGCCAAGAAGGTTGGGGCAGCCTGTCTCAGCTGCCAGGGTTGGACCCGAAGCACATGTAGTGTGATTGTTTGAAACACTGAACCTGGACCAATTTCCAGTTATGCCCTGGACCTTGGAGACTGGTGAGCAGAACTGGAAAGTTACACATAACCCCTAGACTCGATTATGGTACTGCACTGAATGTCGGATCAGGCTGTCTTTGATATGCCGATCAGTTAGATCCTTTGGGAGTCAAAACCTAGGTATGTTGGGGCAATCTGAGAATTCACTCGAGTGGGTGATCATAGTGACAGGATCAGCCCGTTTGTCGAACAAAGTGAATGATCGGAACTGCATTCTCTAATGGAAACCAGAACTGCTGAAAGTTGACTCCAACCGTGTTTGAGATTTGTTTTGCAAAATATATTTATATGATAATATATATTATGTTTTTAAGAAAAATGTTTGCAAAAGGTTTTAATTCCCGGGACCCATCAGAGCAAAGAGTGCAACACTGCACCTTGCAGCCAGGGGAGAGGTCCTTCCCTGTTGAGCAGTGTTTGATCATTATGGGCTGAGAGGTTAAGTGTAAGAGACCATTAAGGGATGTTTACCTGATGTACTATATCTTAGTTAAGTCCATTGTCCTTGGGCCTTTATAGGATGGCTGGACTCAATGATCATTTACTATAAATGTTAGGCCCATTAAGAGCCCATACTGATGGACTCAGGGGTTCACTATACTTGACAGTGAATTCGGCTAAGCCTTTTCACAAGGGCTGGGATGAACCCATGTGGGATTATCTAAGGTCATTGTTGGGGTCCCACGCCATACAAATTGAACCTAAATGGGCCAGCAACTACCTAGGGGCGTGAGCCACTTTCTAAATGGGCCTAAAGCCCATGATTAATTGGATTAATCAGTGTCACATGACTGCTTAACTTAGGAGAATATGGGTTTGGATAAGGGTATGGAGCACCCATTAGGTTAAGAAGATAAGTCTTATCCACTTAGAGAGTCCAAATTCAAATAAAGATTTGGATTAGGAATCTCCTAATTCAATTAGGAGTGGTGCTCCTTAAGGCTTATAAAAAAGGGAGGAGGCCTCTCTTTCTTCTCCTCAATATACATTCATCTCCCTTTCAATAGTATTGTCAACTTCTATAGTAGCAGCAACCTCATCATCTTGTATAGCAAGAGCTATCTCATCATGTGCAACAGTAATAGGAGTGGTAGGGCAAGGACCATCAGTTTCAAAACCATCAAAGGCCTTGCGAGTTGAGAGGGGTAGACAAGGTAAAGACATAGCTTCTGGTGTTTTAGCATTATAGGTTGCCACTCTCGGACTTGAACCAACATTTCCACGCTTGTCAGCCCAAGGTTTTATATTTAACTATAACCCAGATCTAGGAGTCTGGACTTTAGGATGATAGATAGGAATTTCCAATGATAACTTCCTTGTTTTTTGGAGAGAACAGTGGTCCAACTTTTCAGCAGATCAACTCCCTCTATTCTCATCAGCGCTGTTTTCCACATAATGGTATGAGTAACTCTATGGCCTCCAGATTGAATTTTGAAAAATTACATCTCAAGTTATAAAAAAAAAAAAAAAAAAAAAAAAAAAGAAAAGGTGGGTTTTCTCCACCTTCTAATACCTCACACCAGCAACTTTCTCATCCTTGAAACCCTTCTCCAAGCCAAAAGAAAAGGAATGCTTAAAAAAAAAAAAAAAAAAAAAACAATAGTCCTTAGCCTTGACATAGAGGAAGACGTAGAAGTAGAAAGACCCCACTTTCTGTTCGTTTATGGTACTGACAAAAGTTACAAATCCACAAGAAGGAACCGCAAGAGTTTTGATCATGGATTTGAGTCAGTGAGGTCCCAGTAAAGTAAAATACTAAATCCACAGGACAAATAATAGTTCCATCCAAAGACAGATTTCAACCTCTGGATAAAAGTAGCTAGTCTATTTTGCAGATGAGATTGTAGAACAGACACTAATCACACATTAAGATACCATGAGACCCTAGAAGATCGTATGCATGGTCCTTAATAACATCAATTATACAGAGCACAGCAGTTGAACTTCTCCAAATAAAATCGAATATAAGATGTCAAATTGTCAACAAATCAAAGACAATAAATAATCAGCGAGAAAACAAATTAAATTCAGCGGAAATGAACAAAAATCATCAAATCACTGGTTCCTTCTAGCATCAAAGAAGCTGCACAATCCTCAGGTACCAACCCAACTGAAACTATAAAATACTGAATTCTTTCCATTTCGAAACACCAAAGATGGCATATAAGCCTAAACTACAATTAAACCCATCAGCAATAGTTTTATCATTATAATTCTCTAATTTGAAGTCTAATTCCCATTACTAATCCACCATAAAACCAGAAAAAGTAAATAGTAAATCAAAGAAAAGGGAGAAAACACACGGATCAGAAAATTAGGGAAAAATCAATCTACCAGCTGTGACGTGACGGAATCTGCATGTTGATCCAAATGGGCAACCTTCGGGCGTATTGAACCGCCTACATTCGAGATCCCCACCTCCATTACTTTGCTGGAAATAACCCCACTCTTGCTGTTCGCCCCTCCTAGAGTTCAATCGAAACCCACCATTCTCAGAACGGGATCTTTTGGGGTAAGGTTCCATGGACTGATCTCGAAGAGATCTTCTATGGGTCAGGGACAAAAATATTGAAGGAACAGAGATTCTCTATCTCTCCCCTGGTTTTCTAGGGTTTTGTAATAATAAAAAAGGTAGGATCGTTTTTATTCGTAATAAAAAGTTAGTATTGAGAATAGATATTTTGAGTCTAAAGTGCAGCGGAGAAAAGGGATAAAATGGATATGGAGTATGCAGGTCAGAGCACAGCTCCTGCAGTTGGTGGGAGGAAAGAAAGAAAAAATTATACGATAAAGCTTAACTGCAGATATATTTACGAAATGGCTATGAGGATCCCTTGCTCACTGCTCACATGGTTTTGTTTTCTCCACATGTTTTTTAGACTTTTAGCCCATGATTCGCATTAACCGACAAAGAGAACAAGGCCGTGAGGCCGTGACTCATCGACTCATGAACCCATGAATAATGTCAGAATTTTAATGGCGGAGCGGGTTTTTTAGTCGGATCGTATAGTTTACCGTATCCGTGAAACTTTCACGTGAGGAATTAAGAGGTGTTTGGTATCATTGGTGGTGTTTCAACTTCCAATTTAACTCTACCACGTCTACTCACATGAGATTGCAACGGAGAACATTTTGGAGATCGAGTCAGTTTGAACACCTTATATACTTGAAACACAAATATATCGTACCTGATGAACAATGCATATATCAACACCACATATGTGTCACATCAATGTTTAGACTTTACTTCAGAAATAGAAAATCAATTTGTTGTTTTCAAATCTTTTTTGCCTAGATTTTCATGCAAAATGTTTTATAATTAATGTTTTAACTAAAAATGCCTCGACTATCAAAGTCAACAAATGTCTATGCAAAGGTGTATGACGTGTATCGGTAATTTTATGTTTTATTTTTTTTTAAATCGATTTAGAGGGGTCAGTTTAAGTCTCAGCTACCCTTTGAACCATGGTCTGACCCGATATAATTCCTGTAGGGGTGTATCATGAAGCCACCGGCATGATACGTATTGGCCAATACAAGCCGATACGTGTCGATACTTTGAACCTTATGTATATGTGGTGCTGATGTGGTGGCATTTATACTTGAAATGTTAACAATACCAAACAGCCCCTTAGTTCTAAGCTAAAAATAGGTGTTAAAGCTTGTTGGTTACCTATTAGTAGGATCCATTGCTAAATGCTCATCAGAATACACATTTAGGCTTTAAGCATATAAGTACACATTGTTTGCATCCAAATGCGGTCCCAATAACCAATCCCAATTGCCATTGTAGTTGTACATCGAAGAACATATCTTGCCATGAAGGATAAGGGAGATGTTCCCAATGCATAACCCCAATGGCTATCGGGACCATGTGTTGGGATTAGATCCAAACTCTTATATTTACATGCCCAAACATGCATTTTTATTGGGGATGCAACGAAAGAACCCGCTAAGGTTATGTTTGGTTTGAAGGAAAAGTTAAGGAAAGGAAAAGAAAGATGGGGAAATCTTTACAAACCTTGTATGGGTTTCCCTTCATTTTCCTACCTTTTCCTTCAAACCAAACATAGCCTAATAGTTAGGTTACTAGCAGATCCTCATGCCAAGAGTCATATATTTCTTCTTGTTGCCCTGTATTAATGTTAAAATAATTCAGTTCAAAACACCTATTTTGATGACTGTTAAATTGAAGAATAAATAAGCTTTATGGAATTATTAATAATTCAAAAAACCTAGAATATAGTTTGAAATATGGCAAAGTCATATATCATTAATGGTTTAAATTGGCCACAACGTTCTTCCACATGCATGGATATTGTTGATGCTTGGATTGGCCAAGGGCAACAAAGTAAATTCGCTCCCAAACTTCAAAGGAAGGCTGACGGGTTGTCGAAGCCCTCAAAATTAGTACTAGTCCCACAATAAAATATTTGTAGTAAAAGTGGTACTAGGTCGAATCCCACAAGGAGCTAAACAATAATCTCTTAGCCAAATGGATACTATAATTGAGTGGGAAAATTTAATAACTAAAATTAAAAGAATAAGAAAACAGCTAAACAAACAAGAAAAAATCAGTCTTGCCGAATTTTGGTTCAAGGGTTCGGGTTGAATCGATTGGCCATCGATCCTAGGTAGATTTCAACATTCTTGCAATTCAAGCATTTAACCTTAGATTTATTAGGATAGCCATAATAAACCTTGTGTTTTCCTAAATCAGTTGACCA